TCTGATAGGCTACTGTTGTACTTTATGGAATATGTGCGTAAAAATTGATATTCCCATTCTATACAATGTATACATTGCATCTAATTTGCATATTAATGTGTTCTTGGGGCAAACCATAATGAAAAAAGAATTGGTAGTAATAACTTGGCAACACTTTCATAAGAATTTCTCATATTTCATAGGAATATTGATCTATAATTTCGTTCTCTATTGACTTATTGTGTTTCCCCAAAATGCCCGATTAACATGATGTTTGTCCTGGTGTCCTCTGCTGAAGACATGTATGAAAATTATGCCCCGTTTCATAATAAAAAGTAATATTCTGATTTGAAACCCCATAACATTTTTCTGAGATGTTTTTTTACGACAAACAATTTGAAAATTAGTCAGATTTAAATGATAATTACAAAGCATTATCATATTTCCCTAAGAGTGCTAAATTTGATCATTCTGTCAATATCAGTCATTTTTAAAGACCAAGGAGAAGGTGTGTTTACGGTCAAACTGTAGCATGTAGGGTCTCAGAGAAATTCACTAAAATATAATATCTTCCATAGAGGACAAAAGTCAATGCCTGGGTCCCAGGAGGATATGACATCTAAATATGTAGCAAAAGCCACATAGATATACAATTTGCAAATGCACTGTGTTCAAATCCATACTTGTTCCATGTTCAGCCATGTTTAAATGCCATCATGACCGACATACAGGTTTTTTTTTTAAATAGTTAAACTTAATGCGCAACAAGCTGCAAAAGACACAAGAGCAACTGGGAATCATTCATCATTATTACCCTAATAAGTATCTAAGTCAATTTAACCATAACATTTCTCAACTCTGCTCTTTCTGCCAAGAGGAAGAAGAATCTATTTCACATTTATTCTATTTCTATTATTATTCTAAACAATTCTGGCTTCAAATATCACATTCACTATTTGTTGCAGCATCTCTGTAGTATTTCCATCAGTAAGGTACTTTTCCATTCTGATATTTCTGACAATAAGGAGTTTGATGATGTCTTAAACTTTATTTGTATGATGGGTAAATAACATAAAGCTAGAAACCTTAAATTTAAACCCAGCTGCAAAATGTAATTTGTTTTTCCCCCCTCTCTCCTCTGTATTCCCCCATATGTTCTGTATTATTTGTTTCCTGTATTGAATTATATTTCTGCAATAAAAAAGAGCAACTGTCAAAAGACAGTAGTGCATGTTTAGCCTACCTATAAATATAGTGTAAAGCGCAGTGAAATGCGGGGGGGGAAAAAAAACTTCTGTGTGAACAGACCCTATTTCAACCAAATTTGATGTTTGGTTGCATTGTCAATTTGAGGTGGTGATGGGATTCAACGATTATAGCGTTCCAGTACTCTAAATACCGCAAACGGCATCTGAAACGGATTTCAATTTAATTAGCCTATATAGGGCAACAAACCTCCTGGGATGCGAGCTCCACACATTGGGAAGAAGTGCTCCATGAGATGGCGCCAGTCCGACTGTGTGATCCGGGCGGGGCGCCATCATCATCATCATCATCATCATCCATTGCTACTAGTTACAGCCTGCTGGATTACTGCGCCTTTACGCCCTTTTGAAAAGAACCCTGATATCGTGCTATTATCAACTCGATTCATATTTTCTATCCATTCACCCAACGGTAAGAGTTTTTCCTGACAATTATTTTCCTGTGCAGTCCGTTCCAATAGCTTTTATGTTGTCGTGCTGGATGTAAACACTCGATTCATTCCCTTCACTGCCCGATACAATATTGCGAATTTGTAGGCGCCGTTTTTGTTTTTATCTGTCATTTCTTACGTTTTGACTTTACGTCTACCAGGACAGTGCAGTCTGATGGTGTTGCTTCAGTAGGCTAAGATAACAGGCAAAATGTACTTGGTTTTAATATTATTATACTAATGTCATTATAGGGCACCTCCTAATGCACGCTGCGCGCTTAGACGTCTCCACCGTCCAAAATTAATAAATAAAAAAATAAACGCAATAGCCTATTAAAAAAATCGTAAATGAATGTAATATGTATTTAAATCAAAGCTATTTATGAATAACAACGGGAGAGATGCTCTTATTTTACCATCTGTCACACTTAGTTAGGACCCTTTAATAAGTTAATGGACTTGGATGCTTTTTCTCCAGAAATTTCTCGGTAAACGATTTAGTAAGCTACCACAAGTCCAGCGTTTCCCAGAAGCGAACACGCATCAATCAATCGATACTACTTAAAGGCATTACTGGGTTTATGATGCAGATTGTAAGATATTGTGCATTTTTGTATACACTGTAAATACATATTTTAATATAATTCGTTTTGAATAGATTTGTTTTATTTTACTTAGTTTGAGTAATTTGACCCATCTATAAAGAAGATATTTTCACTTGCGGCGTTTCAGCATGTTTTGTACTTGTACTTTTTGCATTTTTACAATCTCAAAAAAACTAATTCTGTATGATTTATAAGCTTCTGTAACCATGGGGACACAAGTCCCCATGAGTTGGTGTGTATTCAGGTTTAAGCCCCCCCCCACCATAGAAAAAACACACACCACACACACACATATATATATATACAGTGGTGTGAAAAAGTGTTGGCCCCCTTCCGGATTTCTTATTTTTTTGCATGTTTGTCACACTTTAATGTTTCAGATCATCAAACAAATTTAAATATTAGTAAAAGATGACAAGTAAACACAACATGCAGTTTTTAAATGACGGTTTTTATTATTAAGGGAAAACAAAATCCAAAACTACATGGCCCTGTGTGAAGAAGTGTTTGCCCCCCTGTTAAAACTGTGGTTTATCACACCTGAGTTCAATTTCTCTAGCCACACCCAGGCCTGATTACTGCCACACCTGTTCGCAATCAAGAAATCTCTTAAATAGGACCTGCCTGACAAAGTGAAGTAGACCAAAAGATCCTCAAAAACTAGACATCATGCCGAGATCCAAATTTTACTAATATTTAAATTTGTTTGATGATCTGAAACATTAAAGTGTGACAAACATGCAAAAAAATAAGAAATCAGGAAGGGGGCCAACACTTTTTCACACCACTATATATATATATATATATATATATATATGCATACATACATAAAACTTTATGCAAATGCAGTATGCAAAGTGTGGTGTATTGAATGTTGCAATCAGAATGGAAATTTATTTTAAAATTACTAAGAGCAGAATAATACAGTTGTTGTTATGTGAGATATTAAGGAATTAATCCATACTGATTTGCTTTTTTCCCTCCGCATATAGTTCTCAAGTGATTTTAATAGTGGTCTACTTCTTCCATTCCTCTGGTTTCTACATAGTGTGAAAATGTTTTACACTTGCGGCCCCAATGAAGCAATGGTGGTGTCGGGTAAGACTAAACATCACAGAAATACGTTAGAGAGATATTTTCAGTAGAAATCATGAAAACATGTTCACGTGTGTGATGGGACTCCTGTCTCAGGTTTCTGCCGCTCTCCACCAGTCATGATCTCTGGCGGGAGAGTGTTTGTTTTTCCATGCATTCAGCAGATACAAAGGTATTATTCACTCTCTGTGTTTGTGTATACATGTATGCATGGTTTGCATTAACAAATCTCAGCTTTTTCTCTCTCTTCCATCACAGGATCTCTTTGAACACACTGACGCTGAATGTAAAGAGTGATAAAGTCTACACACGTCATGGAGTGCCCGTCTCGGTCACTGGAATCGCACAGGTTAACTATCTCACAGACTCCAATATGCAGTAAACAAGATTTCATAGGGTTTCAGAAATCAGAACTGGTTGTCAATAAAACTAATTGCTGTCCCAGATTGTTGTGCTACTCTGTCTTTATGAAATACTTTGTCTTTTAAAGGGGTCATATGATGCAATTTCAATTTTTCATCAACAGTATGGTGAGGGGCATAACATTTCCGTCTCACGCTTGAGGTATTCGGCCAATCACAACGCACTGGATAGCTGGCCAATCACAGCACACCTTGCTTTTTCAGACCGATGAGCTTTGTAAAAATCGACGCGTTTCAAAAAGGCGGGGCATAGAGGAGAAACAATAATGTACAGTATGTGGAAAATAATGTTTTTTAAACTTTAAACCACATAAACACATTTCATTACACCAAATAGACAAAATAATGTTCTTTTTAGCAGCATCATATGACCCCTTTAATAACTTTTCTGTAAAAAAAATAAATAATAATCATTGATTGTTATGTGGCTTAACTGAACCTTCTCTCTCCAACAGATGAAGATTCAAGGGCAGAATAAGCAGATGTTGGCTGCAGCATGTCAGATGTTTCTGGGAAAGTCAGAGGGTGAGATTGCCCACATCGCCTTGGAAACACTGGAGGGTCACCAGAGAGCCATCATTGCTCACCTGACTGTGGAGGTAAATAGACATAGTTAAAGGCACAGATAATGCTCACCTTTCAAATGTACTGTTCTGCAACATCACAAACAGCTGTAAAACTAGATATAGTATTTAAAACCTGCACTTTCAGTCCTCAGCATAGTATATCGACTTCATTGAGCATGGGGACTTTGATATTTCTTTACAAATAAGGAACTAAGCAAGTGGGTTTTGTGTTTGTTCTTTAGGAGATCTACAAAGACCGCAAGAAGTTCTCAGAGCAGGTGTTCAAGGTGGCTTCATCCGACCTTCTCAACATGGGCATCAGCGTGGTCAGCTACACACTCAAAGACGTTCATGATGACCAGGTCTGTTAGGCCCATTTGTGACTTGGACCACAAAACCAGTCATAAGGGTCAATTTTTTGAAATTGAGATTTATACATCTGGGAGCTGAATAAATAAGCTTTCCATTGATGTATGGTTTGT